ATGCTTCGGTTCCAGCGTGTGGTTGATGTGGTTCCTGTGCTGGCTCAGACTACAGCCAGGTTTGAAAGCAGACATCGTGATGTATGTACTTTGTTTGGCATTCTGTCGGGAATGAACAAGTCCCGCTGGAAGATTCTTTCCCATGAGCAGGCGTCATCTCCTGAACATGTCCAGCTCAACAAAATGGAGGATCTTGCCAAGCTGCTGCTGAAGGCACAGCGTGTCGGCGGCGCCAAAGTTGGTGGCCACTACTTCTGATGCAACGAGGGGACTGGGGAAAAAAGACTTCTCGCATTGGTTGTTGTGCAGCACTGTTTCTCTGTCTGCCTGATTTCACGAGCATGTCACTTTGTACATGTTTCCTCCTGTTGCCAGGTCTTGGAGCTGCTCTTGCTTGGCGGACAAAAAAGATTGTTCTGCAGAGCTTGTGAGGGTTCGCGGGAGAGCCATCATAACGTTGACATATCCATTATTCTATGATCCTATCATATCCCCCTTTATATCACTGGTTTCCACGAATATTTTTCGCAAGGGTTCTGTGGCCCACCAAGATTGGGTCAAATTGGGCGAATAGCAGGAGATCTTGGCAATCTGAACTCCCAGAATTCGGACCCAAAGGTATAGGTCCAAAATACCAGTTTGAAAAATGTGATTAGGACTCAGCACGTAGGGTAAGTTTGGGAGAAGTACATGGAGAATCAAATGCACCATGGCATGAAATTGAGATGCTATGGGAGATATCCCGGAATCCTCCAGTCGGGATGTCCATGAATCTTTGTTTAACTTCATACTAGTTTGGACACTGCCCCAACTCATTAACAGTTGGATAATGGATTGAATGTAATTATCAAACCGTTACTATGGCTCCTATTATAGACTGTGAGTACGTGCTGCTTTACAGGAATTTCAATTAAATGTCGATTAAAAGGTAGCCATTTACTTACTATACCCGTAATATGGTCGTTCAATTTAAGTTCTTGAACAGTCACTGAACCGGCAATGGGTGGAGGCAAGACCCAACTTTCGTTTATGAACAGCAAAAAAAATCCAGGATTGATCTACGGCTCAGAATTCTGTAAAAAAAAGACATCCGTCAGGTTCCTGCTCAAGGGGGTGCTTGGCGCTTCTGGGTGTAAAAGCAAGCTCGATTTTCTGTTTGGAAACTACTAGTGTTCAACGTCTTCAGGGTTTCAAAGGTTCATGTCGGAACTCTTTTACCCGCGCCCTTGACCCCAAACCGCAAGCACTGAAGCTTCGAGCCTTGACTCCTGCGGGGTTAGGGGGTGGTAGGGTTGTTTACAGCAGATCAGTTTGCTTCAAGAGCTAAACCCAAAGCCCTAAACCCCAGACCCTAGACCCTTAACCGAAGCACCCGGAACAACCAAACCCACAAGCCTCGCTCCGACCTCCCAAATACCCATACTCGCGGTCTCTTATTAGGGAATACTCGGGGGGTCAGGGGGACTTAGGAATAATGGAAAAGAAAATGGAAGCTACGTACTACATAATAGCCAATATGCCCATGACTTTGGGGTTAATTGTCATCATGATTGGGATATGGGAGGTCCAGGTAAACTTTGAAGCCCAGGAATGACCCGGGACCCGAGACCCTAAACTCTAAACCATAAACCTTAAAAGCCCAGGGAAGTGGGATAGCTGTCATGGCTCTATCCGACAAGCCTGCCAGGAAAGGCTCTTGAGTTTCGGGTTTAGGGGCCTGGGTTAGGGTCTACCTGAACCCCAAAAAAATATGTAGAATAATGGCCTTTTGGTCTATGTTTTTGATTTGGGCGATTATTTTACCTACTTTTGGGGTTCAGGTAGGGTTTAGAAGAATTTTTGCCTCTTTCAACCTTGCGCAACCCACTCCTAGCCAGGGCCCAAGCACTATAGGGATCTAAAGGGATTATTAAGGGATAATGGAAAAAGACCATGGAAACTGCTATTTAGGGTTTAGGGCTTAAAGGCTAGAATTTCAATGAGGTGAACAGCAATACCTAAACCTTAACAGTATGTAGAATAATAACCTTCTGGGCTGGTTTTATGGGTTTTGGGCTATTATTTTACCTACTTTTGGGGTCCAGGTAGTTACAGTCATTGATCATCAGTGTCTTCAGCTCTAGTACTCAGAGCTCAGATTCCAGAGCCTTGGGTTCCTCTTTCCGAGAAGCCCCCTGCTTGGAACTCCCAAATAGGGATTTATAGGGTTTAGGGTTTAGGGTTTTAGGGTGTTGGGTTTTAGGGTTTAGGGTTTAGGGATTTATAGGGTATATATTGGGGATATATAGGAATAATGGAAAAGAACATGGAAACTACTACTTAGGGTTCAGGGCAATCGTCCAACATGGTTCATCATATTGTGTTGGGTTGTCAGAAGTATGCTCCGTGTTGACGCCCCGCTTAGAAAGACAAGCCGTGAAAAGCGTCCGCACCATTTCTTAGATCTCCCTGTAATTACGTAACAAAGGACCCGAAACCCTGAACCCTGGGCCCCTAAGCCCTAAACCCTGAAACCACCACAAAAACTACACCCAAAAGCCCTCAACAAGAAAGCGCCAAGCTACCCATTCCCTTCAGGACGGCCATTACATGGTGCTAGTTTATTCAAGCATGGGACTCCAGAATCTTGGTTGCCATTGCTTGTCAGGTATGCGGGTTTTGTTTTTGCAGGTTCATGAGGGTTTAGGGTTTAGGTGTGTTGGGTTTAGGGTTCAGGGTCATGGATGGTGGAGTTAGAAGCCCTGTCAGCCAAGGTATGAGCATCATAATCCTACTTATAACGTCACCGTTGATGCTCATGATGTGAGGGTTTAGGGCTCTGGTGCGGCTGCCGCGTTCACAAGATGCCACTCTAACCATCTAAGCCCTAAACACTCAATTTATGGTTTAGGGTTTAGGGTTCAGGGTTTAGGGCCTTAACCCTGAACCCTAAACCCTAAGCTCCAACATTCTGTCCCCTAAGCCCTAAACCGTGAACCTATCATCAGGCATATAAGAGGCTGCATCAGCTCTCAGGTCTAAGGGGTACAGGGAGTGCTGGATATAAAGTTCTGCGTGCGTGATCCAAACATTGCTTCCCAGGTTTGCGGTCTAGGGTTTAGGGTTTGGGATTAAGGGCTTAGGGTTTACGGTTCAGGGATGTTCAGGGCTTAGGATTAGGTTTCAGGCTTAGCGCTTAAGATTATGGACCACTGCCACTGCATATGGTGGGAGCTTCCAGAAATGGGGGAGCCTTTTTTTGGGGCCGGTCCCCGTATGGCAAGGACTATACGGGTTTAGGATTTAGGGTTATAGAGGGGACCTCCTATTTGTGGGAAATACCCGTGATTTCGGGTTGCTTGTGTTGGACATTCACCGGGTTTCCCAGGAATGGCATCAACTAATAAATGCACATTCTATCTGAAATCTGTAGTCGGGATTTTTTAGTTCCATGGTGTACTGGCTCTGATCAGTGAAGGACTCTTGAAGACCTTCTTAATAAGGCTCCTGCAGGAAATTCTGCATCCAGACCTCACCTTTTGCTCGGAGCGGGTGCTCATTCCACATCTTGGTTTAGAGGTTCGGCCTATAGGAACTCATTCGCTAATCCTACACTCTAAACCCTCAACCCTTAAACCCTAAACCCTAAATGCTAGTTTCTCAAATTAAGGGGACCCCAATATAAACCCCAAAATACTTTTATCCTCATGATAGGGACCCCCAATAAGGTACCCCTAATTTTGGGAAACCCCCAAATCTGTAAGTAGATTACCCCATTGTCTTAGGGACTCGAGGAAGCCTGGAAGTGTGAGCATGCCCTGTTTATGATCCTTGGCAGTTTCTATGCAATTCCTTCCCATCCCTAGCAAAGTCCTAAACAGGAAGCCCCCCACTCTGAAAAGATAATTCTCCCCTGGCCCCAAGAACTCTTGATATTGGAGCATCGCATGTAGAAGGATAAGCTGCCGGCATTTCTGGAGATCCTGCGTGATCCTGAGTAATGTAGCAGCCTCAATAAGTTCCAATGCCATCCTCTATATTCATATATTTCTATATTATGATACTACTATACTGTATTACTACATTACTGTATTTCTATATTTCTATATTGCTATATTATCTTTTAATCTCGGTCCTTGCAGTCAGCTCCACCCCAATAGCCTCTATATCAGTTATTAGGCCATGGCAGTATCCGAAGCCTTGGGAACGGTGGGCTACAGCCTTATGAGGTCATTTTAGGGTTTAGGGTTTAGGGTTTGGGGTCTTTCTGTTCGAGCTGCTTGAATGCATTGCAGGGTGTATCCTTACCAAGAAGTCCCTAAACTCTAAACCCTAAGTCTCGGCAAGCCCCATGCTGGCGAATGAGCAATCCCTATCGTACCTTGCCCCCTAGCAGAGCAAACCCTCAGCTCAACAAAGCTTCAACATATGAGCTATAGGTTTCGGGTTTAGGGTTTAGGATTAGGGCTTATATAGGGGATTACATAGAAGAATATTATAGGTGTTTCGAAGAGGGATACTAGGACTAAACCCTAAACCCTAAACCCATGACATACGTACTCCGTCAACCTCAACCCTTATGCCCTCAGTCCCAATCTGCAAGTTTAGACTATAGCTCATATGGTTGGGGAAGGAAGTATTGCACCAACTCATCAGGGTCGCACAGTCATTCTTGTAAACTACAGGTGACGGAGGGCTTCCTCTAACGCCAAACCGCGGTAAAGGGTTCAGGGTTTAGGGTTTGGGGTTTAGGGTTGCTAAACCCTAAAACCCTAAACTCTCCATCAACACTACTCTAAGCAAGGCCGTTTTTTCATCCGACGCTTCAGGCGTCTGTAGGCTGGGGCCCATAGGCGGCATACCTATTACATATAGGCATGCATAGAGATAATGGGAAAACACGGAAGGTGTGGGGTTTAGGATTTAGGAAATTCATTCAGTTTATGGTTTAGGGCTTAGGGTGAGTCCCAGATTAAAAGTTCACTCATAACCGAACATGAAACTAGAAGGCCCATCACTTTGAGGTCGTGTTAAACCCTGAGCCTACGCCCTAAACCAGAAGAAAAAAACTAAACCCCAAACCTGAGCCTAACCCCTCAACCCGAGCAAAAAACTAAGCCCTACCAAAGCCTAAACCCGAAACATTAAACCCTACTAAACCCTGAACCCTAAACCTTAGCCTAAATCAAAAAGCTGTATTTGACCATCCGAAAAAAAACTGAACCCTAAGCCCTAAACCCCTAAACCCTAAACCCCAAGCCCTAAACCACGGCAAAATCCCGAGCAAGGAACCTCAAAGCCAAACATCTGCACCGTGTTTCCTAGCTGCGGTCGGTTTAGGGTTTCGGGTTTAGGGTTTCGGGTTTAGGGTTTATCCTTCACCCCAAGGGTCAAGGACCCAAATAATAGGGTCTTAGGGCCCAAATACTATAACATTAATGGTATTTGGGCTCTAAAGCACGATTATTATGGGTCCTTGAAACCCTGTTAGGGTTAATGGAGGCATATACCTTAAGGGAGAGGGCTTAAGGCAGAGGATTTAGGCCTCAGGGCCTAATATATCTCGAGTCCTAATTTGGTTTAAAGTAAATTCCCTACTTAAGGGATACTGGGCTGTGTAGGGCTGTTGATGGACAAAATCCTGTGCATGACTTCAGGTATACTATACTACAATGGGGGTCTGCACAGGTTTAGGTACATATAGTCCCCCCTAAGTAGGTGGAATATGGCTTTGGGTAAATTATATTAATAAGCTCCCATATACCCCATAGTCTATCTACTTAAGGGGGATTATAAGATCATGCAGAATTTTATCCATCAATCGTAGATACACCAAGTAAGGAGCTTCAGGATGGAGACTTGTGGACCCATTCACCTGTAACGGCTTAGGGTTTACCCAACGGCTCCAATGTAGTTCCTTTTTGGGTTTGTTATGGTTTTTGGGTTAGGGATTATAATATACTACCCAAAAAGGAACTACATAGGAGGGTTTGGGTAGATTTTGCGGGTGGGCCCCTGCCCCTCCATACGCTTCAACAATTACTTTGCATCGAGTCTATTGAAGGCTCAGGATTGTTTATGAGCCATAGTCTAAACTCCTAGTATCCCCCTTAAAAACCTTATAGTAATCCCTTATATAATCCCCTATATAACCCCCTTTAAGGAGTTTAGAATATGGCTCATATAGTGTCTGGGCTTAAGCGTTCAGGGTTATGGGCTAGCTGCAACCAGGAGCTCCAAATAGCTTCAAAAGGGGTCCATGTAGGTACTATTTTGCAATTTGTAGTTATGTGGGCTTTATAGGACTGCCTTAAGGGGACAAGCTGAAAGGTAATAAAGGGTGGTATATAGGGGGACCCATGCACGTGGGCGGGGTCCAGTAAGGGTTTAAGGTTTCAGAGATGATTCTTGAGTATTTCTTGCTTGAGAGTTTGGGAGTTTTGGTTTTAGGGTTTAGGGCTGAGGTTTCAGGGTTTAGGGTTCAGGGTTTAAGGTTTAGGGTTCAGGATTTAGGGTTTAGGATTTAGGATTGAGGGTTTAGGGTTTAGAGTAGTTTGGGGTGTCGCAGTCAGGCGGCCGCACTTGCAGTCAATGCTCCTGGGTTCCCGTTGCCACCCCCACCCTGCTTACTGGGGTTAAGTAGGGAATAAGGGAACACATCATGTAGGGACTGTATGGGGACTAACATTATATACGGAGTCAGTGCGCTCCCGTATTCCCCGCTAACGATCCGCAAGCCTATACTACCCCCTAGGCCCCAGGTTCGCCTGTATTTGGGACTGCTTCGGGATGATAAGTATCAGTGCTAAGTCGGCTTGTTAAGGGGGAGCCTCGAGGGGTGGGGTGGGGGTTGGGGTAGAATGGGAGGGGAGTAGGTGAACCCATGATAGCTAGAGAGTGACCCCAACCTTAGACCCTAAACCCTGTAGTAGAAACTCTATGCACGAAACCCTAAAACCCCATAGCAGGAACCCTGAACCATACACTCCCCCAAACTAACACGGTAGTCTTTTTTGGGCCCTTTTTGGGTTTCCATGTTAGTTTCCGGGAGGGTAAACCCAAAGCCGTGCGTCTTCTATTGGGCTTCAATCCGACCATTCGTGGGTATCTGGAGTCTATAGAATCTGATCTGGGGGGTGTGAGTAGGCGGTCTAAGATTTAGGCTACAGGATACGGTTTGGGGTACAGGGTTTGGGCTTGGACTTTAAGGTTACTCAAGGATGTAGTCCAAGCACATCCAGGTGCCCTCCGCCAAACGAGTAGGGAGCCTCATGTAAACCCTGCTTCTGCATGGACGGTAGCCTTTGCGGTTGTTTTTTCGGGGCCCAAAGTCTACACCCCAAAGCCCCACGTCCTTTGACCCCAACCCCCCAAAGTCTGGGGGACCGGGCGGAATGAATGTTTGCCCCCCCACCCCCACTTGAATTGTAGATGCCTCTAGCTACCCTAACGGGTTGCATAGAGCATTTCTTTCACTCGAAGCTCAGTCTCTTAACTTATGTAGAAAGCTACATTAGCCCAGGAAGCTACTAGATGTATAGGTAACTGTTTTTTTAGGGTGTTGTGAGTAGAAGTTCTTAGAGCAAGCGGAGTCATAAGCTTGGTTTGAGCATCCAGGCCCAGATTGACCAGGCTTGCGCAGCCATATTCAAACTTCAGCATACAGTCCCCCTTAAGTAGATAGAATACGGTTTTGGGTATATTACAATAAGGTCCCCATACACCCCATATTCTATCTACTTGAGGGGGACTTTATATCCTAAACCCTAACCCTAAACAGTATATAGCTTCCATTTTCTTTTCCATTATCACAATATAACCCCTATATACTATATTTAAGGGATTATATAGTCCCCAAGTCCACAGTTTCTCCACCGAAGAGAACTAGATTGAAAACCTCAGCTGAAGGCAGTGATAGTTAAGGAGGACCCCTTCAATAGGAATATACGAGGGCCTTAACCCTAAGGGTCCAAGGACCCCAATAATAAGGCTTTAGGTCCCAAATATCATAATATCAAAGGCATTTGGGCCTTAAAGCCCTATTATTTGGGTCCCTGGACCCTTAGGGATATAGAATCCCTCATCATCCCGTATAGTCACTATTGCTGGGATGGGCGCCCAGAGTCCACCTAAGCAATGGGTGCCGAAGAGTAGCAGGAAAGAGGAGCTAAACCCTGAACCCTAAACTCTATAAAACCCACTAGAGTAGTTTCCATTTTTTTGCATTATCCTTATAAACCCTAATAACCCTAATTCCTAACGTGGTTTCCATTTTCTTTTCCATTGTCCCTATAAACCCTAAACCCTAATTTCCCAACGTAGTTTCCATTTTCTTTTCCATTATCCCTATATAAACCCCAGTACACTCTAGTAGTTTCCATTTTCTTTCCATTATCCCTCTATAACCCCTGGGGCTTTCGAGGTTCCCTTAATATTAGGATCCCTATTGTAGAGGGTTTAGGGTTTAAGGTTTTCAGGGTTTAAGGTTTAGGGTCTTAAAATTAGGATCCCCATTATACTGGGTTTGGGGTTAAGGGTGTAGGGCTTTGATATTAGGATCTCTTATTAACGGGAGGGGGCGTATTAATCAGGTGTCTACATTGGGGTTTAGCACCCAGCTCACATTGAGGTTCCTTGGTGCGGCATGTCAATCCCCCGTCTGGACGAGATACGAGAAGAAATGATGCGTCATACCCAGCGGCTTGCTTGGCACTTTCGAAGGTTTAGGTTTCAGAGTTTAGGGTGTAGGGATTAGGGTTTGAGAATTTGTCCGGTACTCCTGTCATCTACGTGGACGCTTGGGATACCACATGTTTTATGCTGTGGCGGAAAGAAATTGATATCAACAGCAACAACTTGCTGGGGGTTAGTAATTCGGGAAGAGGGGCACATGCTATATATGACAATACAGGGTTTATATTCGCGGTTTCTTTACTAACCATTGGTTAGACCAAAGGTAGGTTCCGCAGGGCGTTCGTATATTGTAGTAGGGCTCGGCCCTTACTTCTGGCATCATGTGAGGGACTAAGAGGTGACAGTCTAGGTGTTACATCCAATCAATCCCCAGCATCAGAATATGTGCCCCAATATTCGGATCTGCTATAGTGAGCATCCAAGGGCTTGGTTTTTGGGGGCAGCGCAGTAATTTAGGAGACTCCCGTGGTCCTAAGTGGTTCCAGATCCTGTGTCTGCCAATGCTGTACAAATCATAGCTTCGGTCTCTGGTGTTTGCTGTTGCCGTTTACAAGGGCTGTCCCTGGAGGTTGATGAGTCTTGGATAAATGCGCGCTCGCTTAACATTGGTAGGACAAAGTATTGACTGGCTCTGGTGTCTGGTATTTAGGGTTTAGGATTTGGGTTTAGGGTTTGGGGTTTGGGGGTTTAGGGTTTAGGGTTATGGACCTTGAGGTAGGTTGTAGCGCTTGTGGGTTCAGAGTTGTGTAGAAGCATCAGAGTATTGCTGTCTGTTCCTGCTTATCTCGATAATCGGGTTGATCCTTGGGAGCCTACAAACCCAGACACATGGTTTTAAGGTTTACCTGGACCCCCGAAAAGTAGGTAAAATAACAGCCCAAAGCCCCTGAAATAGCCCAAGAGGCCATTATGGTTCAGGATACCCTTTTTGGGGTTCAGGTAGAGTTTTGGTTGAAGAGTTGACCATGGCGCTCCTTGTATTTCGGAATTGTGGTCGGAGGATTCTTTGCTTTGGGGCTTGCGGTAAGCATTTTTTCTTCCATGGGGCTTCCTTCATTCTATCAAACCTAGGGTTCGGGGTTTAGGACTTAGGGTTAAGGATTTAGGGTTTGGGGTTTTGGTTGCGGTTTGGGGGTTGGCATTCCGGCCTAAAGCCTACACTCTAAGCCCCCAAAAGTACCTTCAAACCCTGAACCCTAAATCCTGCAAGGACTGGACCCCAAATGTGTGCAATTTGCGGAATCCAGGGTTACAGTGCAAGAGAACCAGTTCAGCCAAGAGATGTAGTTTGGTAGATAGCCTGTCATTAACATGATCCGTATACAATCCTCAGCATGGACCCTGCTTGACTATTCGCCGCTAATCCGTACATTCCGATAGCTTACATACACATGTCTACAATCTTCATGTGTAACCTTGCGATTCATAGATGTTGTCGGGTCCCCCTGGTTGAGCCAAGGATTCTTGCTCAGCCTATCCAGTTGCCAGACTTGATTGCAGGCTTCGGATTCCGTTGTGGGCAGTGCATAACTTGGGGGGTTTCCCAAATTTAAGGGTACCCTTTTGAGAGCCCTATAATCAGGATTCCAGTATGTTGGGGTCTATATTTGGGTCCCTCTGTTTACGGAAGCTACCAAGTCTATAATCGGAAATATATCTCTCACCAGAACACCCATGAAGAACCCCATGAAGAGCGACAGAAAAAGCCCACTGAGGTGGCAAGAGGATTGCCTGAAAGGTTTGGGGTTTGGGGTTTAGGGTTCAGGGTTTGGGGTTTAGGGTTTGGGGTTTGGGGTTTAGGGTTCAGGGTTTAGGGTTTAGGGTTCAGGGTTTAGGGTTATATCTGTTTGTAATTGTTGAAATTCCGTCCTGGTTAATGCAGACCCAGGATGGGTCACCCTAAAACCTGAAGACTATAAGTAGGGTTATAATCCCAGTTATAAGTACTGACTAAGTTTCATGGGCCTCCAAGTAGGGGCTTTAGGAGGGACCATGGTAGCTTATTGGGGCACCTATAGGGGGCATATGAACTATAGTCTAAACTCCTTGAAGGGGGTTATATAGGGGATTCTATAGGGGACTACTATAAGGATTATTTAGGGGGATACCAGGAGTTTAGACAGTAGCTCATATCAGTACTGTGTACGTGGTAGCAAGGTAATCAGGGAGCTTTTCTAGGAGCTCAAACCCCAAAACCCTAACCTCTAAACCCTGCCTAGACCCCCCAGGCATTTCAGGTTACATAGACCCCACTTGAGGACGCCTTAGACCCCGTGAAAGGGTACTTAGACCACATTTAAATTTAAGGGTACTTACACGCCATGAAAGGGTATCCCCTGAACCCTAAATCCCGAAACCCAAACCCCCACCTTATGTCCTAAGCCAAGGTTAGCCAAGCATCTGCCGGCAACGGAGACTGCGCCGGCGTTGATTCGCAAATGTACCGTGGGCCTTGAATTTCACCTCTGAGGGGTTTTGGGTGTAGGGTTTAGGGCTTCGGGCTTAGGGTTTAGGATTTCAGTCCTGAACAGTTTAGGGTTCGGGGCGAAGGGTGTAGGGTTTAGGGTTTAGGAGTTTCACTCCTGAAGGGTTTAGGGTTCACCTGTAAGCCCCAGTAGCTACAGCTTAGTAGCAATTACCCCGGGATTATACGGTATAGCCCATAAAACTGTAGGGAAATGGGGTTATAGGAAGGGGTTAGGGCCGGTTAGGGTTTAAAGGGACCTTGATTGTACCCTTGAATAGAGGTATATGGTCCCTAATGAAGGGTCTTCAGGGTATATAGAGGGTACGTAGTCGGAGGGTCTAGGTAGGTATGTAGCATATGCTTGGGGCCTCAAGGGCTTTCCGTATGAGTCCTCTGGGGCCAAGGTAGAGACTATGTAGCTGGGTGGATAAGTCATCACTTTCTTTGTGGCAGGTGCAGGTGAACATGAAACCCCACATCAAATTCAATATGTTTCTCAGTGGCCGTGAGCTGAAAAAGCTTGAGCCGCTGGATGCAGGGTAGATTTCTGATTTCATGTAGGTGATGTATTCAAGGGGGTTTGGGGTCAACCTCATCCCTGGCAAATACCTACCATTTCCAAGGAGGACGCCCTAGAATCCCAAAATCCCTCTGAGGGCCTTCCGTAAGGACCCAAATCATAGGGTTTTAGGGACCAAATACCAATGGCATTTGGTCCCTAAAGCCCTATTATTTGGGTCCCTGGACCCTTAGGGAAGCCTAAAACCTTAAACCCCTAAACCCCAAACCTCTAAACCCTAAGCCCTAAACCCCAAACCTCTAAACCCTAAACCCTAAGCCCTAAACCAGCGAATCTCCCAAAAAAGGGCTAAGAGTTGACAGGTGCTGTCGGCCGTCTGCTGCTGGCACTTTTCTTGGGTATGTCTCTCTGCCTCTCGTATCCTCAAGTGGGGTTGGGGATTTGAGATGTAGGGTTTAGGGTTTAGGAGCATTTTGGATTAGGGTTTTGGGCTCAGGGTTCCAACCCTACACCCCCAAACCCCTAAACCCTAAACCTTTGGGCTTGGCTTGCCTGCAGCATTCCGGGATCTGGGCGTGTGAATCTGGCGCTTCAGGAGATCGAAGAAAGAGGGGCAGCTGAAAGACATAATCACCCTAGGGTTTAATTAGGGCTTAAGCTAGGGTTTAGGCTTTAGTTTTCGTTGGTTTAGGTTTGGTGGTTTAATGTCTCTGGTTGAGCGTTTAGGGTTTTGCAAATGCTCTACAGTCTGCAGATTCAGAGATTGGTCAATGATCTTTGGGGAGTTTAAACCCCTATTAGGCCTAAGGGTGTCGAGATGAACCAGGTCATCGCCCGTGAACCTCTACATGTATGAATAGGGTTTAGGGCTTACGGCTCCAGGTATACAAACAATACCTACATTGGGCCCAAAAGTCTGTAGATGTTACCTACACTGGGCTACTTGGATCCCTGGCATAAGTAGGGCCCCTGGATTCTATAGTCTATGGATGGAAGGTAGATGGGGCTAATTGGAGCATCAGGGCATCTACGTCACAGAAGCCTTGGTGTCATAGTCCTTTGAGCTATAGTCTAAACTTCTTAAAGGGGTTATATACGGGAACATGTTGGGGAGCATTACAGGGCTTATTACGGGGGATACTAGGATTTTAGACTATGGCTCATTTCGGCCCTGGTAGCTGTCATTCCTGCATGACTCTTTCACCTTAGCCCCAGGAATCATGGTAGGGTTATGGTAGGGTTTAGGGTTCAGGGGTTGCCCTTTTCTTGCGGTCATTGCATGATTGATTTTGTGCATCAACTGTTTCATTTCAGCAGTACCTCAAGAAAATTACTCCATGGCTAGCCAAGTAGACGTACGCAATGTCACCAGTGCAGCACCTTGACCCTAAGGGTCCAAGGGCCCAAATATTAGGGTTTTACGCCTTGGGGCCCAAATACTATTAATATCAGTGCTATTTAGGGCCCTAAAGCCCTAGTATTGGGGTCCTTGGACCCTTACGGTCTTGCAATTTCTCGGAAGATTCCCGCTGTCCGGGATTTCTGCCATCAACCGCGGCTTAAGGGTTTCTACATGTGGTAGTTCCCCTGAATACAGGGAGGGACCCTAATCTAGACCCCCAAAATATACAATGCGTACTATAGGGACCCCCAGACAGGTACCCTTAATTTTGGAAAACCTAATCCCAAACCTTAAGCCCTGCATAAACCTTATACACACAAAAAAAAACACGGTAATTAATTTCGGGGAACCCACCCCCAATACTTGGATTTCTTTCTCCGCTGCAGCCAGCCCATATAATTAGGTAATCAGCTTTCGTCGCCGCAGCTCCCCGTGTCCAAGTATCCAAACATCTGGCTTTTAGGTTCTAAACATTACCATCTGAATGGTATTTGGGACCCAACGCCCATTTTTGAAGGTAAATCAGAAAGGGGGTAAATCTGAATGGTATTTGGGACCCAAAGCCCATTTGGGGGTAAATCTGAACGGTATTTGGGACCCAAAGCCCACCATTT